CCCCAGGGGAGAGGGACAGAATTAAGGCTTACCGTGAAGAACTTGGCTTCTATTATATTATTTTAGATGTGGGTTTTTGCGTCTTTGATTGCGTTTTAATAGGGTACGTCAAGAGAATGTACACTAAGAAGAAATTTTTCGAAAAATCTCCCCCTCACGGGGGAAGTGTTATACATTTATAATAGATATATTTTGAGCCACAANCTCGGCTAGAGATTGGTTCGGTTAAGCTTTTGTTTAAGTAAAATTCCGGCTCTTTCATCAGGGTTTTGTTTACGTCCCCAATTCCCTAATCGCTTAATTATTTAACTACTTCTTAAGTAGAAATAAGTCGAAACCGGTTATTTTGTACTCGAATATTTGTAGTTTCAAGAAAATGTGTAAAGACAAATATTTATGACAAACGGATAATAAATCGTAAGTTTAAGGAAAATAAATTCTAGAGCTTTTTCTGTACCTGGTGCATCTCATTCATTAAATTTAGTTGTAAATTATGCTACCGAAGTAACGGTTATTTTTTTAACATTATACAAGAATTGTACACGTTTTTTTCTACATCCCCTTAAAGATGGGATGTACGAAGTCGTAATATCACCGGTTTAACATCGAAATCCGTGAGTAATATAAAATCGGAGAGCGGAATAAATATATCAAATATTTTAACGGATTTTTTAAAATTCCCGTCAACTATAAAGAAAATACAAGGGAAGCGGCGCATTCACTGCCTCCAATGACTGCATGCCACTGGTAATATCACCTGCCACGAGATTTTATTTTAAAAGCTTTTATATTATTATAAAACGGCAAAAAGCTTAAGTTTGTGGGCGTAGATGACAATAGTCACTATCCCCATAATATATATCAGCATCTACATTGCACGGTACATTAGTCTACCGTCTACACAGCGTAAAAGATTTTTATCGAAATAAAATAGCGAACAAAAGTTTTTTTTTTTTTAAATCTATTGTTAGATTCGGTATCTACAAATGTATCAGTGTGTTTAGTACAATACGAGGTCTGTTCAAAAAGTATCAGACCTTTGGTCGGCAAAAATAAATTTATTGATTTTGAGGTACAAAACCCTAATCCCCTTCAAAGTAGTCTTCTTGGTAGTGTATACACTTCTCCCAGCGTTCCTGCTATTGCTGGAAACACTGCTGGAACGCATCTTTTGGAATGGCCAACAGCCTGTCCGTCGCATTCCGCACAATGTCTTCTCTCGACTAAAATCGGGTTCCTTTTAGCGGCATTTTCAGCTTGGGAAATAGCCAAAAGTCACACGGAGCCATGTGGGGAGAGTACGGAGCGTGACGAACCACAGGAGTATTGTGTTTGGCGACGAAAGCCCGAATCAGATGCACAGAATGGGCGGATGCGTTATCACGACGGAGCTGCCAAGTTTTGATCGACCACAGATCCAGTCGTTTGCGTCGCACAGCATCGGAAAGACGACGAAGGACCTCCTGATAGTACTCCTTTGCGATGGTTTGGCCTCGTGGTGCGTACTCACGACACACCACCCCACGAGAGTCGAAAAAACTGTCAACATGACCTTGATATTGCTGCGGGCCTGCCGCGATTTTTTTGGCCTCGAGGATCGTCCCCGAAAGCCTGCTGAATCTTGGAATTGTTTACGCTCGGGTATCGCCAAGGTTTTTGGCAAAATTTGATGTAATATCGCTGCTCACGTTGTTCAGTCATTTTCCAACTTAGTGGAATCCGACGAGAGCTCGCTACATGTCCTCACTCATAGGCCGACTGCCAACGACTGACGCTTCCTGCAGGCGGGAAAAAATTCAGGGCTGTGCATGACTGTCCCCTCTACAACTCCACTGAAAGAGGCCTCCCACGCATCATTAGTTTATGCGGAAAAAATAAAAGTCCGATACTTTTTGAACAGACCTCGTATTCTTCTGTTGTGGATGGAATCTTGACTTTATCTATTTCAGCATCTGTTTTACTCTCTGAAACTTGTTTTTTTTAATGCATCTGAAACTTGTTTTTTTTTTAATTCATATTCTTTCTCAATCATTTTGATTGTTTCCATTTTTGATACGTGATAGAAGCGTCTACATTAGCTGATGAACTAATATTTGGTTCATGTAAAAGAGAAATAACACGCAATAAGATAGTTTTCAGATTTTGGGTTGAATTCAAGCGTTACCAGGAAAGTTATCTACTTTGAGAATCATCTGGAAGATGAAGAATCAATATGCAGATGTTTCCAGTGGCGCACTCACGATGTAATCTTAGGGAGCTGAGTTGAGCAGATAAAAATTTTCTAATGCGAATTCAATAAAATTCTCACCTTATGTGACTAGTGTTACCACCCGTCCGGTTTTCGCCCGGGAATCGACTCACTGTCCGGGTGAACTACTAGTTTTATCCGGGAATATCGTGCGCAACCTGTCGACCTTTTTTTTTTCTTTTGTTTTGCTTTTACGATTCGTATTCGTACACGTCTCCAATGTCCAATAAAGCTAAGTCAGCAGTAGTTATTTTTTCTTAATTTAGTTACTTACGTTACTCCTACCCAAGTTTCCCTAGTCCCTAACTTTAACTGATTTAGAACCGGCATGTACTGCACGTTATTCTTCGCATTGCAAAATGACATTGCGTATGCGTCAGGAACTTCTGTTCGAACAAACCACACCTGCCGTCCGGGTCCTATATGTGACCCTGATTCATAAGTAGTATAGAAATAGAAAATGCGACGCAATATAAATAAAGAAAGAAATATTAATTAGGAAAAGATTCTGGAAAGCTTTTTAGTGTTCCTTTCCTTGGGGGTGCCAGAACCCTTTCGCTATTCTCTGGGTGCGCTACTGGATGTTTCCATTAGGATACACATTTTGATTCCAAAAATTCCTAATAAAACAAATAGTCGGTGGACTGAAATGATAATTACTAGGCAATTTCATCCGTGCTTTAAAATATCCTTTTTCGTATATAGTGTCCGAAAATGGCCATTTCTCATTCAAACAGAACATTTTCATCGACTATCTTCACTAGAAAACCTTCGACGGGTTCTTTCTGTAAACTTTCTGTAAACTGTAAACAGAGCTACATCTATCACTATCCTAATTTATCTCCTCAACTCAACTCTTTCATTATTATCCCGTCTCGTATTATTCTGTATCTGTCCACCCTTTTCTCTTCTTCAGCATTTCTCTTTTTCGTGTACATATATATATATATATCATGTTTACCTCATGAATGACCAGCACTTCCTTCTTATCAACCTCTTACTCTAGCATCCACTCCATCTTGCTTTACACTCTGGTCCTCTTAATTAATTGCAGTACGTGTACAGTTTTCGAGTCACTTTTGATTTCTTCTATCTCCCTGTTGTATACAATGATGTTCTTTTCGCAACCCTCTTTACTTACATCGTGTACAATAGTTCATGGACCCCCCGACATTAAAGAAATTACTTTAAAAATTATGCAAATATTTTCTAATAGTTTATTCACATGACTAATAATTAGACTTATAAGAACAAATTCCTCGACCTCCTCCTTCCTACCATGTGCAATGGTGTACTGTACTTTTCGCGACATCTCTCTCCCTTAAATACTTTACACCTAATTAATAGACTGCCTCACATCTAAAACAAAATAAAACTAAATTTATTTATTAAGACTATATTGTCTTTTAATTACAACGGCGAATGAAGTTAAGTAATTCACTGTACTCTTTTTATTTTTTTAGTCTTGCTATTTTACTTTAGGTTTAAAAGACATTAAAATTCAAGAATCAAATTTAATTTACATAAGCAATATACAATTTAATAAGAAATTTAATTTACAAAAGCACATTATATAAATTATTATATACTGTAAATAAACAATTAAATATTATAATAAAATTTAAATTTGTGAAATATAACTTAAAATATGGGATAGAAACTAAAAGTAGTTAAGCATTAATAAAAATGTCTGGAGAGTTTTACAAGCATTAACAAAACTAAAGTTAGAATGTAGGCCTGTATCGGGCATTGCACCACTATTTTCTTTTCTCAATTTTACGCTTCGTAAAATATTAAGAAAACCTTTGCATTATTATACGAACAATATCCGTATTTCTCGCTACTAAACCAACAGAATTTCAAAATATCAGAAAGGGAAACATGGTCTTTAAGTACATCCATACGCGTTAATTAAATCAATCAAATTTATTTTATCATTAGAATAGTAATAGAAAAAATTCCTGTATAAGTTACTATAATGCGAATATTTAAGTACATAATCCATGTAAACTTTTGTTATAGTTTATAAAGAAATCTACGGGATTAATTTGTCAGGTATAATAAAACAAAATTAACAATAGAATAAACGAAATCTATATCGTAACAAGATCGTTATAACATTAGAAAAATATTTATTTTAATGAGATTTTGCTATTTATATATAATAATTAATTTAAACAAACATNATTTCATTTTCTTATTAATAAATCACTTCTAAGAACAAGTAAGTATAAATATTACAATAAATAACAAAACTTACAATTTTTTCATTATATGTCATTTTAATAATCTTATAATTTGTGGAAAGCTAAAAAAAATTTGGCTGTTGTGTATATTACAGATACAGCAGAATCTATTTATTATAATCATGGATATTATTATCAGTCATTTAATGTTTCCAGAATTAGCATGCCCCAAAACATACAGGTTAAAGTACACTTTAAAAACTTTTTTAGGGCAAGGACCTGCACAAGTCTATACATTAATGCAGTTCTTGTCTTATACATTTATCCTACTTAATGTTTTTAGTTGGTTATTGTTATCAATAAAGACAAGTTTAAAATGATTACAATAAGTGGATTCAATTGTATTTTATTTGGATTGTCATCTAAAAAAATTGCTATACTAGCCTCACAATAGTTTACATACTTGAAAAATACTACTACTACTGGTTTTTATTGTTTTCTATTTCTTCTTTCTTTAACAAAATTATCCAAAAAATATGTCTTTAATTTACTTCCATTAAACTTACATTTTATACTCAGGATACTGTTGATATTTTTTGAATTCTTCTTCCCATTGTACTTTCGTTAATGGAGGAAATTCTTTAAAAAGATGCCAATCCACTATAGACAGACCAGATTTTGTCAACCTTTAAAAACACTACATATTAATTACAGTTTGAAACATTATTTACAATTCATTTTAGAAACATTTTACTAAAATTTAAAACTTAATATTACCTTGTAACTCCACCAATTATCACAGTAGTAAATACCATTCCACTACAAGTAAGAAGCCAAACTCCAATCAATTTTGAAGATTTTGAAGGAATTTTTGTAATTGGTTGAGCAGAAATAAATGTTGTGCTACCTCTAAATAATCCATTGCCCTTAAAATATGTTTTAAAATTATAGAATTATTCTAATATTCTCATATAACCTATCATCTATGCACATAGTATTGTTCTTACCTTACTAAATACCTTACATTTTTCTTTTAAAAAAAGATGTTTAGAAACATATGATCTAATCAAATTATGATGAGTAAAACTATATCCCTAGAAATTAAGTAAAATAAAATATTTAATCATTTTAAAAAAACTTTTCACTAAAATAGTCACTTCATAGAATGAAAACAAAAAGGTTATTAAATGTAGTAAATGATATACAGAGGTTGTTCAAATGAAACATAGACAGGACCATATAAAATGTATGGTGTCATTGGTTATGTTAACAGGATTATGATGTACAAAGCATAATGACGAAGTTCCATTAGCTGCTATAGGAAAATACTCTTGCATTCAGACAAGTGTCCCAATGTGATACAAGTTTGCATAAATCTTTCAGATAGAAAGAAGGCTACCAGATGAACCATTCAGTTACAGCTGTTCAGCTGCTTGGACTTTGCTGACAGACTAGAATCTGCAACCTTTGAGAAACTTTTTAAAGATCCAAAAGCATGGAAACTGCAAGATGACATGAAGGCTTTAAGGCAAATGCTACTGAACCTTCCATTTGAAGCAATGCAGCATTTGCCTAACAGCCCCAATATGTCACCTTGCAGTTTCCATGTTTTTGAGCCTTTAAAAAGTTTTTGAAAGGTTGTAGACTCCAGCTGCTGTACTGCTGTAACTGAATGGTTCATCCAGCAGCCTTCTCTTTCCACATAAAATGTATGGAAGATATACACAAACTTGTTCTGCACTGGGACATGTGTGAATGCAGCCAATGCAACTTTGTTGTTATGTTGTGTATACTGTAATCCTGCTATAGTGATCAGTGACAGCATCATTTTACACGGTCCACTCTATGTTTCATTCAAACAAGCCTTATAATTCAAATCAAAATAATTATTAACCAAAATAATAAAATATAGAATGTAATTATTCTGTGATTGAAGTAGACTTTATAAGCTGAAAAAATATACCAATTTATTAAAAATAAATAGATCATTAGTAAATATGAATATTAATTTCTTATGTTTCTCTTTTCTGCTCAGTTTATTCACTTTTCTTATTACAATAATTTATGTTATATATGCAAAATTACAATCTTGCTGAATCAATAGAAGATATGAGTTAATCAGCTTGAAGCAGAAATCTGTCCTAAGTGCAATTCATAAGAAATCAAAATATCTGTATTATTATTGAATTATTTGGGGCTATCTATTACTTGTGTATAACTTAAGGGGGGTTGCTAAAAACACATCATTTGTCACATTGGAGACAGAGAGGATAGAGGCATTATCTATATGGATCTTTTTAGTGGTATTAGTGGCATATGAATTTCTTATAAGCCTATTTACTAGGTTTATAAGGACGTGAATAAACTATCAATTAAAAAATATTTGCAAAAGTTTCAGTCATTTCTTCAATGTCAGGAGGCCATAAACTATTGTATTATACAAATAATTAAAAAGGAAGAAGTTTGCCAAAAGTACATTATTGTACATAACAGGGGTGTCAAAAGTGGCTCAAAAACTGTACATTTAATTAATGAATAACTCTTTAATTACAAAGATAATAACTGAATGAAAGTAATGAAATAGAATACAGTATTGAAAAATGATATTTACTTTGGATTAATATAGAACTTTGAAACTGATATTCCATTCAAAGAATGTCAAAATGATTATATTTTTACATTACAATGCAATTCATAAATTTATAAACTACTTATTTAAATTCAAAATTTATTATAATGCATTATAAACAAAATGAATCTGACGTTTTAGAGTCTTAAATGAGTTTATTTTAGATTTAATTTGAAAAAAATAAACAATATTTCATTCAATTACGTCACAATATGAAACTAAACTGGATAATTATAAAGAAAACAAAATAAATTTAAAAATGATGTAAATTTATAAAATACAAACCAATGAAACTGATGACCGCGCTGTTATATTGCAGAATCTTAACAATTGCAAAGCCATTATATGAAAAACTGAATATTTCAGTTTAAATTCAAAATAAAAATATTTATTACTTTCACATTAATTTCCAAGAATCAACTTTCCCAAAACATGTGTCAGTTTTGTTTACGTTGATGGACTCCTATCGGTCAAACTTAGCATTAATTACTGTAAAATACACTTGTACAGTACGTATATATACTTTTATAAATCTAACATTATTTTTATAATTTGAGCTTTATATATATTTCTTATTTATTTATTTTATTTNAAATTTTAAACGTTAATTGTTTATTAAACTTTAGAATTTGTAAAAGTCATCAATTCTCGGAATTTTTTAAATTAATTGATGTTATTTTGAAATTGTTATATCTATCGAAACTCTTAAAATAACATCAGTTGATCTCGGTAATAGTGTTCATATCAGTACTTAAATGTATTGTTTTCTTATTATTTTAAGCTTATAACTTCGTAATATAGGTTAATTTTTGGGCTGAAATTTGAAAAAAATTGTAGACCTATAAATCCCCACTGTCGTCCGTCTGCCTGTCTGCCGTTCCTTAATCTCGAGATCGGAGTTAGATAGCTAAAAGACAAAACCACATAAGAAAACCTGTAAGGCAAGAGGCCCCGATTAACTATATATAAACTTCCGATGTAAACCGAAAGTCACGTTATTTCAATTAAAAAATTCCCCGAAAGGTGTTAAATATATGACCGGCACGACTCTATTGTTAAAGGAAAAGTATAAAATACAGGGGCAAGATAATACTAATTTGAGGTGGAGAGCATATATTTTAAATTAAATTAATTAAAAATATGATAANCGGAAAGTTTTCACTTTTTACTGTGAATATGCTGCAATGAATAAAACATTATTTAACTCATTAAGACTATAGATTACACAGAAAATAAAAATTAATTTTTACAAACGAGTTTGATGTTATTGAAAACGAAACTGGAAGGTAGCATCACTTCATGATAGCTTGAAATTTTTGTTGACCGGCTAAAATATACGATCTACGTAAAACAATCTATTAATATAAAAGTAGGCCTATCATGTAATAAAGTGAGAGTTATCCGATAATCGAAGTGTGCTTGTACAGTACTTACAACATAGTAAACTTATAAGAAGGGCCATAGAAAGGTCTATATGGGTAGAGTGGGCCCTTTTGCCCCCGTTTTTTTTTAACAAATTAAATACAAAGAGAATATTTCTTTATTAATAAATAGAAATCTTAAAGATTTTATTTTTTGTTAGAAAAATGGCATTAATTTATAGGGATAGGAACCACTACCAGCCCCTAAATTTTCTCCGACCGGGAAAAAATCCTCAGCTCCCCCCTTGATGGCCCAGTTTGAAGTTTGAACATTAAATAACTAGATTTCACACACACAAAATAAAGAAGAAAAGGAAAACAAAAAATAATCTAGTTAACGCTCTTCTTTACTGGAACTGTTTCTAATTAACCTACTAATGATGGGATTTCTAAGCGTAATGATAATATAATGTTTTCTTTTATTAAATATATTGAAGGTTTTTAAAAACCAAACAATGTTAATGAATTATAAATATATATTTTTTCATCTTCTTTTATTCTCATCTTCTTATATATTCTTATTAATTAAATATAGCCTATATACATTTGTATTTTTAAATACAATTAGCGATATTGCTGTAATTTAATTTAAAAAAGTATTTTAGAATATCATCTATAAAAATAAAATATTCATTATTATCCTACTACATGAAATATTCAGACCAATGCTGATTGTTTGAGACAATGACGAGTAGTTAATGAAGTTAATAGTTACTTAATGCAGCTTCATTTAATTCATTATTTTCTTTATAAATAATTATTTAAATATATATTTATTAATTCTTTATTGGATTTCAAATAATTAATAAATGTAATAAGTCTTGTTAATGAATATGAAATTTTTAAAATATAACACAGTATTACATCTAAAAGAAATTAATTATCATCTTTGTCGTTTACATGAAGGCTATTCTTATATCTTACAGTCTTTTGATATAGAAAGTGAATCATAGTCTCCTGAATATAATGCTCAGTCACCGGAATTAAACATCGCAATTTGCTATTTCGTCAGAAGTTTTGTTTCTGCATCATCTATGATCACAAATATTAAGAGGAAAAAGGAGAAAAACAAACCAACTGTAGCTTGTTGCGTGCAAATAGTTTACTTGCGAAGACGTTAAATATGGTTGTAAGGATTAGTTTGATACAATTGGAATTAATATAATAAAATTTATGATAAGTACCGTACTTATACAAATGTTATAATACCTTGCATTTGAAAATTTAGTTAAGCTAGTGTTATGCTTTTATCAGCAATGTTAATAGTATTGGAAGATTTAAAGATACGTTTATTTTAATATGCCATAAAATGCTTTTTCTCTTTAATTAGAAGAATTTTTTTTAAAGTTGACCGAATGATTGGCATGAAAAAGGTCTTGCTTCTACTTTCCAGGCGTTAAGAGGTCTTTTACACTTGTATTAAATTCTATCAGGCCCACAATGGTTCAGCTGAAAGTGAGGTATGATGACCAGCATATATCAAATTTCCCACTCAGACTCGAACTTTATAGAAGGGTTTTGTAGCATATTATATTTTATAAGCATATTTAGTAATCAAGTTAGTTTTGTATTATGCGTAAGATTTATTTGTAAGACTTTTCTTAACCTTTAATTCTGAGAATTATGTAATATTTATTTATTTTGAATAAACCTTGTACGCTTGTTTTCTTGGTACGTAATTAACGCGTAAAGGGCAGCTGCAGTCTTTAATTTTGTTGTAAATAATTATTGAAATTTATAGAGAAGACACATTGATTATAATATACTGTATTTAAAAGGTAATTACATATATTTTAATATCACTACCCACAAAATAAGAATCAAATTTAATCTATAAGAAGTTAAAAGTTTTCATTTTGATTATAAATTAATAAGGAGATGATTGAAAATAAATTTCTGAAAAATGGATCATTCTTAAATGATACTAAATAATGTATAGGCCTAAATTTATTATTTATTCTGAAATTTCGTTTTTTTTTCTTCATATTCAATTGAATTAATCAACCGTAGATTAACGATTCATAGGATTTTACGTTTGGGATTCATTCTCCTTAATGATATAGGCCTATACGCTATAACATTTAATTAATGCAAATTTAGTTTTAATTAAATCTAATAATATAAATAGATTCAATAAAACAGGTTAAACCAATTTTAGTAATATAATATTTAATTTTATCGTCTCAAATTTTATGATTTAAAAAAATAACAGATCTACTATAATTTGGTTAAATCATTCGCTACATAGACTGCATTATATTAATATTTAAAATAGTTAATCATTTCTTAATTTTTTCAGCTATATTTATAAAGACTTATTCAATATTTAATAACAAATTAACTTAGGCTATATGTGTTCTTTTCAGAGCCGTCGAGAGAGCATTGTACGGGGCCTAGGGGAAAATCTAGAGTTCCCCCTCTCGAACACCCTCGTTCTATTAAAAATTGAGTTTTTTTGTTTTTTTTTTATTGTAACTAGTTCATAAAATTTAATTTAATCTTTATTAAAAAAAGATACAACAGGCTTACAAATTTATAAACAAGCTATTGTTTTAAAATACTTCCTGATTTCAAGGTTGCATCTATTTCCTGAAACATTTCTCTTATTACAGACGTTATAATTTCCTGTGTGCATCCAGATCTAAATTATAGCTTGGCCAACGAGTGTGAAATTTGTTTAAAATAAACTATAACCAAACTTTCAGTCACAAGAGAAGAATGGAATGTGTGGGGCGAAGTTTAAAGCGGTGCTAAGTACCATAAATCATTGAGAATTGGATCCCAGACGTTTTCTTACTTTCTCAATCTATGCATTTCGTCATTCTATGACAAGTTGAGATAATGCTGAACGTGTTTACAAACTAAATCATATATTATCGTCTTTTACAAAAAAAATAAGGAAAAAAGTAAATGTAACTTTGAAAAGAAATCGCGTTTTCTAACATAAATATTCAAATATAAAGAAATTACAGAAATTATTATCCAAAAAACAGATATTTTAAGAATAAAATATAAGTATTTCGTGTGTTTTTCGTGTAATCTCTTGAATTTCCTAAGAATTCAACGAAGCGTATAAAATTCAAGTTCAAGCACAAACACTGAGGTCGTTGGAAGGAAGGAAAAAGCGCGGAAACTGTAGCGAAAAAAATCTCTCCGTTTATGCGATATCAGGGCATTTAGTTTTCTTCTAACGTATAGTTTGTAAGGAACATATGCCAGAGCCACGGATAATAAGTGGGATTTAAATATGGTTCGCGAAGAAAACATGGAACCATCTTTTCAACGCAGACGTATAACTACTGCTATATTAAATAGTTTACCAGAATCTCTTGTAGATCCAATATCCGAATTCAGCACGAATCAGCACCACTCGAATGATTTAAATGCGTTTCCTTCAGAATTTTCTACTAAAACGAGCATTAACATGTTAAGTTTTCAAAACAGAGGTGAGTTAGAATTGTAATTATTTACATATTCCTTTTAACAGATGAAAAAAAAAAATTATTGATTTATATGTATTTGATTATTATCAGTATACATAGATTTAAAAAATCATTTTAATTGTTAAAAATTTCATATCTTGAGGTAAACAGTAGCAAGAAAGTGTATTTTTTTAAATTACAAATTAAATTATAAAAATAAAAAAGGATAAAACATTCAACAGTTAATTTAAATAAAATTAAATACTGTATTTCTAAAATGTTATTTCTCCCTTTAATATATAAAATCTTAGTCTATTTTTATTTACAGAAATGTACTTAATTTGGACTTAAACTGATACAGATTAAACCTGCATCAGTTTAATTCAGAAATCATTTGTTATAATTTTTATTAAACATATGGGTTAGTCTTTTTATAAATGTTTTCATATCTTCTGAATATGTAAATTCATACAAAATTTTAAAATGCATAACAAAAAATACACACGGTTAAATAGATTTATATTGTGTTATGAATTTTAATTTAATCTAAATTTACATTTGTTTAAATTCTTATAGTTCTGGTTCACATTTTCTATGCGATCATCAAGT